CAGTCGAAGGGCGTCCGAGAGTCTATGTGATTGTGAGAGTTGACTACAAGGAACTGTCTCCACAGCCTTCTCTAAATCTGAAAGATCATGGTGGTTAGCAAATTAGAGAAGGAAACAAAGATTTTTACATAGGGAATCGAAAGAGAAGTGCTCAGACCTTTGCAAGCTTGGAGACAAGGTAACGGCACTGTTTCGTGAAGGTCTCAGCTTCCACAAATCTCGATGACCATCTGTTTCGTTTCGATTATCAGCTTTTGCAGGATGCCGTGTGAAGTAGTCTGAGGCAATCAAGAGGTGCAAGACAACGATCGCTGAAACTATGGATGAAACTCCACTGCTGTCCAGAAGAAGTTCGAGAAACGCTGGCTCATAGGATGAGTGATCGAACAATGCCCTCACAATCCTGCGAATTGATGGCCTCGGCTACTGCTAAACCAACTCACCACGTGGGAACCGACAGGATTCCATCCTGCTGCCAGTGATTCCATATTTCTTCCTCTACTTGCTCGGTCCTTATTTTCACGTATTCCGTGAGGAAATCGTGGCCGTTGGTTCAGTGGTCCAAACCGTGGGCCAATCCTGGCCGTTGGTTCAGTGGTCCAAACAGTGGGCCAATCCTGGCCGTTGGTTCAGTGGTCAGGTTCAATTTCACGTGTAGATACCATACAGTTTGTCGTTCTTTCGTCTCAAATACGGCTAGGACGTGGGAAATGGAAGCTCTAATGGTGTCTTGGAATATTACATGCCTCAAACCCTAAACTCTCGGAAACCCTTGGTTTCCAGTTTGGCGCCAAGTCTCAATTAAATAAATTATATCTAGAGTTAGGGTTTTCCTCGCCATGGCGGATGAATGTTAATGTGTAATTCCATGGTTCCGGGCAAGAGGGAAGAGATCTAGAGCCTCTGGAACTTTCGCTGGAGCCCAAAATGAGGAAGAGCGGCCACGGAATCAGTAGATTTCGAGAGCACTTTCTTTCTCTCTTAATTTGAGGTCGCCTTTCATGAATGTTTGGATGCTCCGGGACCGGGAGCTGGAGCTGCGCCGGGAGATGGTGCGCTGAGAGCTGGAGCTGCGCCAGGATCTGGAGATCAGAGGCTTCTTTCTCGTTTGTTCATCATCCATTCTTTCATTCTTTCTTTCATTTGTGCTTGTGTTTCTTTCATTCCATTCTTTCTTGGGGCCTCATCGTCTTCTTCTTCCATGAAGAAACGTGTGTCGTTCTTGGGTATGTTGAGGCGATTTTTCTGACTAACATCCGTGGTCGTGAGGCGTTTCGAAAACCTGCAAACCAAATGGATGATCAAATGCCTAGAAGAAAGAACAGCGAGGCTGTGACGAAAGACGTGAAACTGCGCCATGGGAACTTGGTGTGGACACTCGGCATCAGATTCCAAGCGGGAAGGATCAATTACCTTCTCAATTGGAAGCCTGTGGTAGATCATTTCCGCCTTGAAGCTGGACGCATGGTAAGGCTCAGCAAGCTGGGAGTGTACTACTTTCTACTTGAGGTGTAGTTACATTGAGTGTGGAGCAATATAGTTTGATCAATGCAAACGCTTTTGTAGCAATTCTGGCTAGTCTTACATGGTAGCATGGATTATGCCTGAGCCCGACAATTTTCGAGTGAATGCCATGGTGGTGCTTATAGCTCTCTCTTGCTCGGGTACATAGAAAATGGCCGCAGGCCACAGGGACCACCAGGGAACTAAAGAAGATGATCGTTGATGTTAGCCACAGCAGCAGCACACCCGTGACATATCCCTCAGTGGATCTCCAACCGGTGTGGTTCCAAACACAAATCAGGTTCGCCTTGGTACTTTTCTCTTATCGAGAGAATGTGTTCTTGGAAGCGTTCGTACAAACTCTCTCTTCGTGTTCAAATGCTTGAACAGAAACTCAAAAGTGCATGGCCATCTTGCTTGGTTTTTTCTGACTGGTTTTGCGTGAGCAGACTCTCGTCGAGCAATAGGCATCACTCACGACCGATCGAGAGCATCCATGACTCAATGTAAGTGTGCTTCTACATAATCACTGTCTGGGTGCAAAGAACAAAGTACTTTAACCTAATCAGGATAGTGCATGGAAGACACTAGGTTGTTTCTTTCTCGCAGCAGTGGACTTTCCTTGGATTGAAAGATGAATCACTTCTCGAGCTGTCTGACGGATGAGTCAACGAGATCGTTTTGGAGGCTCGCCCAGCCAAAGTGGGACGAGTTTCCAGGTCGAGAGCGCTGCAAATTTGAGCTCACGTGGACTTAAAAACACACATTTGATCTCTGCTGTAAAAGCTGATTTATTTCCAACGTCTGTCTATATGCTCTATGGTATTCTAATCCAATAGAGCTTTCCGGATGCTGTGGGAAATCTTCTGCCATCTTGATCTCCGAAGTCTTCTTCGTGGCAGGCTTGTGTGCAAAGCATGCACACAAGTAGAGGGACTTGTGTTGTATCCCACTAAAATCTGTTATCTGTTCCCTAGTATAATTGAAATTGTGCAACCTCTCCAAACTACCGGGCCTTGAAACAAGCCCTGTATCCCATAGAAAGACAATCATATCACCACTGTCATGACTTCATTCTATCAGCCTTAGGAGAGGTCCTCAGCTGAGACTCCCATCTTTGTTTTGAATCGAATGAGTGATTTACCTGGCAGCATCACAAATGAGCTCCGCTTGAGGGGATTCCACACCACAAACTTTGCACCAGCAAGAAAGCTGTGGGAGAAACAAAGCAGGCCACTGGCAGAGGCAATGGGCTTCCAGTAGCGGAGCGAATCCGGATCTGGCAGTGGCAAAACAGTTGCATCGTCGTTACTGAAAGGATTGTAAATCCTTAAGGACAAGTAGTGGTGCTGTATTCGATATTCAAGGACCAGAGGAGGCGCCTTACTGTCAATCACTGCTCTGGTTAAATCAGGCATAAATTCTAGAATCATTATAATATTCTAGAAAGCTGGAGCTTTGTTCATGGCAAACTATCTTTAAAATTAGACGTAGAAAAGATGACGAAGTTGCTAAAAGAAATTGCATGTAATCCAATTTATCAAATAAAGTTTTTAATTATAAGCATAATTGTAATTTATAAACACGAGATTAATCTTATTGCATATTAACCATTAGATGATAGAATTAAAAAATATTTATTACAAAAGGTTTAAAACTTTTTATAAATTATAAACACATTATTAATCTAAATGAATATATGGTAAAATATCCTAGAATATCCAAGCATGTTCTAGGTATATCCATTACCATCCATAGGTTTGCTTAAGCAAACCAAAAACTTAAAATCGCATAAGTTAATTTATATTTTCCTTACTTTCATTTAAAGTATTTCATAAAAAAATTTGTTTAAAAGTTTTCTGAAAATACATTAACAGTAAAGTTTTTAAATTAATATTTTCAAATTGCTAAAAAAAATTTAATCACATTTTATCTATTATTTTATAATAAATATTACAAATAAAATTTATTAACTGAAATGTTTTAGATAACATTAAGAAAATTTATTTACAAAATTATTATAAATATTTATATTAAATATTTTTTTAAATATAAAGATAGTTAAACTTAAAAATATTAAATAGACTTAAAATAAATAAATTATTTATTAATAATTTATTAATTTTTTATTAGATACAATCTATAGGTAAAATTTATATTCTAATTTAGATAAATTAGCTCATCAATATATTTGGTAAATATCATTCAGAATTATGACTTTAAAAACTCATAAAAATAATGATTAAATCTTAAAATAACTTTTAAAAATAATTTAATAAATAATTTAATAAAATCAAATAAATCATTATATTTTTTAAGATAGTAAAACAATAATATAAACTAGCTTATCTAGGCCGAAAAGGATTCGGGGACAGGCTTGGGTTCATAGTTGGTTTGCAGCAGATCGTAGTTCAGGTGACCGCCAACATTGCTTACTTGGTAACTGGCGGCCAGGCGCTCAAGAGGTTCGGGGATCTTGTTCTGAGTCGCGAGATTCAGTACGGGAAGTTTCGTTTGCTAGAGTTCGGCCGGTACTGTCATTGTTTGCCAGTTTCTCGTCCATGACAATCGTCTCTCTGGTGGCCGCCATCATGTCTTTCAGGTATCTTTTTCCTTTTGTATGAAAATCCAACTCGCTTTTCATTCAGCTACTCGACTATAATTTGGGCAACAGCTATACAGCTTAATAGTTGGCAAGTATCGTATGGCTACTGCAACTGGAGATACTACAGAGCCTTTAATGCACTCGGAGAGATTGCGTTTGCCTATGGAGGCCAAAACATTGCTCTCGAGATCCAAGCAATGATGAGATCGACGAGACACAAGCCGTCTAAGCTACCAATGTGGAATGAAGTTTTGGTGGGTTATGTCATGGTTGCCGTTTGCTATTTCCCAGTCGCTGGAGTTGGCTATTGGGCTCTTGGCAACTTGACTTGCTACGAAAACGTTCTGGACGTCCTTGATAAACCAAAGTGGCTGATAGGGACAGCCAACTTGATGCTTATGCTGCACCTCACAGGGAGTTACCAGGTAAGCTAAGCTTCCATTGGTTTTCGTTCTTACTTTTGCTCCATCCCAGGTTTTTGCTTTGCCGATTTATGATGGACTAACTTGCTGGCTGGAGCAAAAGAAACTGCCAATCAATGCTTGGATTAGGCCTCTTCACGTAGGTAAGGGGGCGTTATTCTTCTTGGTGAATTTCCTTGAGCTGCCAGGATTTACGTGTTTGGTTGCGGTGATCATACCTTCGTTTGCCGGGCTTCTGGGATTGGGCTCGCTTTTGTACCAACAACGTATGTCGTACGTATCAGTGACTCAAAACTTCCCTTTCTTCTCTCTGACGTGTTCCCAGCAGTTGCCGTGTATAATGTGGCTAAGCATCAAGAAGCCAAGAGTGCCTGGTCTCGAGTGGCTTTTAAACTGGGTAAAAATCTCACCATTTTTAGATCGGAAGCTTTTGACATGGTGGTATGAACTAATGCAGGCACGCATTTTGTTTGGCGTCGTCCTCACGATTGTGTCGACAATTGGAAGCATCGTAAATCTCAAACACGGGCTTCGAAGAGGAAAACCTCAAAGTATTCTACTTCCGCGATTGCAGCAGTGCAATTCGACCTCAACAAACGCAAGCTGTCCCGTGCGGCATTGAATTCCCCTTCGCTCCCAGATTCAGCTAGCCATGGGTACAGCGCTCTACAATGACAAGTATTTTGACGATAATGTTCTCATCCAGTATTCCTCTAACTGTTTGGATTTAATAGAGTCTCCGCTACGAGAACAGTTTCAACTTGGGCGATCCGGCGGGGATCCGAACGGGGCGATCCGTTCTACAGGGCGCTGGAGAAAATGCGGCTGCTCAAGTCGACTGTGCTGGAGGTCTTCCGCTGTGATGCGCCCGTGCTCTACCAGTACGGATGCGCCCGGGAGGATATGGCGGCGATGCGAAGTTTGTGATCAACAAGGGACAGCTCTTGGGTGGATCGCAGGCGCTGGTTTGCCAAGATCCAAAGGTGTTTGAGGAGCCGGATCAGTTGATCCCTGACAGGTTTGTAGGGAAGGAGGAGCTCGAGGCGTGTGTTTTGGGCCATGGAAAGTCGCCCACCGCGGATGACAAGCAGTGTGCTGGATTTCGTGGAGACAATCGCCAAAGTCTACCTGGTACAGTTGTTTGTGAGATACAAGACTTTTGTGAGTGAGGACTCCACTCTCATACACTCCGTTTCCATGAATTAGTAAAACATATTTGCTTTACATAATATAGCTTTGATATTTTGTAGTTTATATTAGATAAAATTTATTATTAGAAATACAGCTTATTATAATTCCGGTTCCAGAAAAAAGGTGTTCACAATATAATATATTCCACAACTCATACTCCACTTGGGCAAGTCGCTTTCTTGAGGAGCTTGTAAACAAGCATCTTGACCACCCAAAACACACAGAAGTGCACATCTGTTGTAGGATACTTATTATTTCGTCTTGGCAGTGAGAAGGCCGCTGGGAGATTCAACATCTCGAGCATGAGTTTGGATGAGTATAATTTTTTCCCGTTTCTTAAATGACACAACCTGAAGAACCTCCTGCCATTGTCTCGTTTTGAGCCTTGATAGTTTTGTTCTAGCTGGAGAACTTCTAATTACTTGGTTCCCAACATCAAAATCTAGACAGACAAGAAAACATAAAGGTAAATTTCTAGTGCTAAACTACTTCCAGCTTTTTGGCTCTGTTCTTGATAGCTTAACATTCAGGTACCTCAAAGCATCTCAACAGCAAATACATCGGCTTTTTACAAGATTTTAGGAGAAAATTCAAGGTGAAGATGCTCTTACCAAAATCTTGATCTCTACAGTCGAGATCTATGGAAAGTCGCGTCACACGTCTTTGTGGACAAGCACCTTTCTCTGTTGTCGAGCACCGGTGCTTCTTGCAATGAACAATCTGCCAATGATCGCTCACCCGCTTTCACTTGATCTTCTATTAAGTTCTCACCTAGGTATAAGTATGATAACCAGCGAGCTTTAGAGCTTTTGCTTAACACGACGAGCACCAACAAAGCTCATTGCAAAGAATTTAACGATTGGAGTCGGCTTTGAAATGTCATAGCTGAAAAAATTCCACTCGATTTCACTTCTGAAAAGTTTCCTTTACCATATACATCTATAATATCTTCTCGACCTTTTACATCACAATCTAGAATTTATGAATGGGTCGCTCCTCGCTGGGGTGTCAAAATCTTGCACACACGACGCTGATGCTAGATCCAAAGTAAGAAATTACAAAAAACTGCACAGACACTACCTTGTCTCTAGTCATCGGAAGAACCCCAAAAGCAAAACTAAAAAAAAAAGAGACAAAACAATACAACTCCATCACATCGTGCACGCACGCACACATGAAAGACAAACATTTTTAACGCACTTTGATACCGACAGTACGAAAAGAGAGCGTCAAACTTCCACTGTAGTTCCCAAAGATCATAGACAAAATCATAGAGTACCTCCAAAACCACAGGAAGCTCGCTGTTCTTCCGGCAAATTCCCAGTGAAACACCACAACCACCACCACCATCGCTGTTACTGGCTAAGAATCATAACAACAAACTTTATTCTCTCCTAGATTGAAAATATCACCATGAAAACAAGCTGCCGAGAAGCTGGAAACTTTCACCGCCATTCCGCGTTGCCTCTTTCTTTTCTAGTTTTTTCTCTCCTGTGGCTCGATAGGTGTACAGGACAGCCAATACGACTGTGCAAGCCTGCCTTGTTCTATCTGGACCTCATCTCCTCTCCTCTCCTGTTCCAAAAACCGTGGCCTCTTTTACCTCGAGTTCTCACCATTGTCAAACACTCGCCGCCTAAAGTCCTCCACCATGAGAGGCAGCCCTTCCCTCAGGGAGATCTTGGGCTTCCAGCCAAGGAGTTTCTTGGCTTTGGTGATGTCCGGCTTCCTCTTGTGTGGATCGTCCTCCGTGTTGTTCCGGAACTCTATCTTTGCCTCTGGATCAATCGTCTCTCGTACCACCTGTGGCATGGCTTTCGATTGCAAACGACGGCGTGGAAATTTGGACGTACCTGTGCGAGTTCCAACATGGTGAACTCTCCGGGATTGCCAAGGTTGAAGGGTCCGATGTGCTCGCCTTCCATTAGCCTGATAAGCCCTTCAACCTGCATGGTAAACGTGTAAGCTTCGGTCGAAGAAAAACAACGCAAGGTACCAGATCTGACACATATTGAAAGCTCCGAGTTTGCTTTCCATTCCCGTAGACAGTCATGGCCTCCTTACGTAGAGCCTAAGTCCAACAGCTGTTGTGAATTACAAGGTACGAGCAGAAAGAGCCTTCTTACCTGTGCAACGAAATTGCTCACTACGCGGCCGTCATCAATGCACATTCGTGGACCATAAGTATTGAAAATTCGGGCAATCCTCACCTGATCATCAGTGATTGCGCAAGTTGTAATCTCACCACAAACAAAAAAGATCATGCTGAGTTATATCTTACATGGACACTGTCACCTCTGTGATAATCCATGGTCAGCGTTTCAGCAACACGCTTGCCTTCATCATAGCAACTCCGAACACCTACATCAATAACGCAAGTACCAAAACCAAGTTAGAAGTCACTACTTACGAAGAACAGGTGAAAAACACAGAACCGAAACATCGATCTTACCAATGGGATTTACGTGACCCCAATAGTCCTCCTTCTGCGGGTGCTCGATCGGATCTCCGTAAACTTCACTGGTACTTGTGAGGAGAAAACGAGCACCAACACGCTTGGCCAACCCGAGCATGTTAAGCGTTCCCATCACGTTGGTCTTGTAAATGCCTAAGTCAAGGACAAACCAAGCCACTTGCAGGACGAGCAACACCACCAAAAACAAAAACCACGGGCAAGCAGCAAAAGAGAGCAAACAAGAGCAAGAAGCAAAAGAAAAGCTTGCCAAGAAAGGATATGATCGTCTTCACGGGGTTATACTTGTAGTGGACTGGAGAAGCCGGGCAAGCAAGGTGATAGATCTGGTCCACCTCCAGCAGCAGTGGCTCCACAACGTCGTGCCGGATGAGCTCAAACCTGGGATTTCCAACGTGGTGGATCACATTCTCCTTCCTCCCGGTGAAGAAATTGTCCACCACGATCACACTGTCGCCGCGAGCCATGAGCCTGTCCACCAGATGGCTGCCCACGAATCCAGCCCCGCCGGTCACCACCACTCGCAATGGCTTCCTCCTGAGACCCAACGGGATCTTGGCGCCCGTGCTAAACACCGCTGGAACAGTGGACACCTGGGGCCTCACCACGATGCGAGTCTCGGCCTCGCGATCAAAGAAGCGCGCCGCGCTGGAGGGACGATCGGAATTGCCGAAGTAGCCCGGCTGGACGATGAAGAAGGCGGTGGCCAGCGCCATGCCCAGGAGCACGAACATGAGGCGCTGCTCGCGGATGAGGTAATCCACGGGCCGCGGCCATGGCTTGGACGGCTTGGCCGAGTAGTCCTCGGGCGGCGATGGAGCGTCCTCCTCGTGCCGCCGGTGATTCAAGCTCTTGACATTCATCATCTTGGCGGGCCGATCTGATCCCGAATTGCGCGGAAATTCCCAGCCTCACCGCCAAATCCGAGCCGATTGCATTGCCGCGCGGGCAGATCTGGGCGCTGGAATCTAGATCCCGGGCCAAGAAATCACACCCTAGACGCGGTCAACACCGCCGCCAAGGAATAGAAATTTCTTCTAATCTAAGAGCGCAGAATGCGAGCGAGCGAGAGATGGAGGAGAAGGAGATCAGGCGAGAAATGCCGCCGCTGCCATCGCCATTCTTCTTCGCTTCGCCGCAGTGTAACGGACTAGCGCCAAACCCATGACCTAAACGCCGAGGACTAATTCCACACAGGCGCATATTCGAGGATATACACAAGCGCATACGCATATTCTAGAATATACGTCAAGCTTTAGGCTGAATATTTTCGAATATTCTTCTTCTATGCGGTCAATTCTCCACACAAGCAAAGAAATCAGACAAACCAAGAGAGATCCCTAAACAACCAGAACTCATTATAGAACACCCCGTGCACTCACATCCAGGGCCCATTACTTCTCTCTTACCCTTGCCCACTTGCCACATTAGCACTTGGTTAGGGCTAAACCAAATTGCGTCACTAGTGTCACGTAATTGTCTTTCCCCTATTAAAATTTGTGTGTCTTCACAGAAGACAGAATATCAAATCTGTACTATGTACCAAGAAACAAATGTTATGCATGCTTTCTTCCTAAATTACAAACCCATTTTCTCCTCTTACATGTGTCATATCTACAGATCGAACCTCAACCTCCATACTCCAAGCCAAGCTAACATCCACTTACAGTACATTACTCACACTCATTCTTATCTTGCTAAGATAACTAGCCACCAGAATCAAAAGCAACTCTCTGCAATCTTCTACATAAACTTGAAAGAATTTTGAGCCACCATAGTTTGTTGATTTCAAAGCATTACAGCCTGCCCACCCTAGCCCTATGACAATTTGCTCAGTAAATACAACCTTTGGGATTTTCTCTCCCTCATTTTTTCAGCATTTACTTGCCATTCTCCCAAAAACGAAAAGCTAGCATGCTACAACATTAGCCACACTAGCCACAATAAGCTTCCTCTCACGGGGTGTTTAAATAACTCTCTTATTTGGCTCATTTGCTATGCCTCAAAAATTAAGCCTTTTGCCTTGATTTGCTGCATTACTTTCCAGCAATGCCCTTAGCATTTTCACTGAAAATCTCTGATGCCACACAAAACAAGCTCCGTTTACATTGCTCAAATTAGCAACCACTTATGATGCTCAATTTAGCAATCATCAGTTTTCCACAAATGGTCCAAGAATGGATAGCCACACAGTGCTCATGAGAGCATTCAGCAATGTGGCTGCCCCTCCCACCAAAACAGAGACCGACTCTCCCTCCATTCATGGACACAAGCAAAGAAACCAGAGAAACCAAGAGAGATTCATCTTTGATCCACCAAAACTCACTACAGAACACCCCATGTGCTCACATCCAATGTCTATTGCTTCTCTCTTCCCATCTTCCTTCTCCAACCAAAAACCCTCACTCGCCCACTTGCCACATCAGCACTCAGTTAGGGCTCAACCAAAACTAGCCCATTCCAAAAGCGCATAATCGCGAATATACTTCTACCTTAACAAAGGCGAATATTCGAAAACATAACAAAAGCGAATATTCGAAAACGTGAAAAACTAGGGCTACTGAAACAGGGTAAAGTTGGCATATTCTTCTAGGGCTTCTAGAAGTGGTAAATCGTTTATACAGGGGTGAAAAGTGCGACGCACTTTGAGAAGAATCCTTTGCCAGACGAGGAAGAAACGTGGGCCTCAATTTCTTCATCGCCATCGCTGTCCTCCTCTTCCTCCTCTAGTCCCTCTTGATCTTGGATCGCGTCCCACCACACCTCCTCCTCCTCCTCCTCCTCACGGTGGGCAGCCGGGAGTGGCAATCCGCGCGACGACCGCGCCGCCATTCTCACGTCAAACGCCGCCTCCTCGCCGCGCACGCCTCGCACGACAAACTCGTGCGCGCCGATGGATTCAATCCCGGCGAAGCGCGCGTGATCGTGCGCCGCGGAGAGAGAGTCCACGGCAAAAGAATCGAAGCAATCAACCCCCTTCTTCATCGATCGCGCGTCCCAGAACGCAACCGCGGCAGGGGAACAGTAGATCCCGCCCAATCCACCGCCGATTCCAGCGCCCATTGCCACGCCCTGGATCGAGAGCTTGGACGCGGAGAAGCTCCTCGCGCATTCGCCCGTGGCCACATCCCAGATGCTCAAGTAGCCATCGCTGGATCCCGCGGCCACCGCGTCCAAGAAGTGGCCATCGCTCACGCCCAGCGCCGTCACGAATCCTTGCTCCTCCGGGAGGTACCAGTTCTCCAAGATCTTTTGCTTGGAGCTCCCCCATAGCTTCACCACCTCGTTCTTGGCCTTGGCGAGGTAATGCGGTCCCTTGGCCACGATTGTCCTCGCCTTGCCGCGATGATCACCCAGCATAGATTTCACTGCGCGCTTCCATTCTGGATCTAGCTCGCCGCGAAGAGCATCCCATTCCTTGCCCGATTGCCGGTACCAATCCTCTTCGCTCGGCATTAGCGGCTGGAGCAGAGAATTCGCCCATTCCGGAACCTTGAAGCTCCAGGAAGCCCCCTCATCCTCTCCTTCCTCCCATGGCCACTCTGCTGCGCGATCGAGCTCCACGCCCTTGCACACGAAATTCCCCTCCCCCAATCTCTCCAGCGGGCTCCATTCCCTCGCCGGGCGAGCAGCCACTGGAAAATCCTCCGCAAAATCTCTCCCCGCCGCGAATGAATCCGGAATCGCAGCATCCAAATCCTCCTTGCTCTCGCAACACGCCGACGAGGGCGGTGGAGCCTTGAGCTCCACGCTGAGAGCGCCATCGCTGCTGCGAGAAAGCCCTAGCGAGATCCTCCTCAGGCGCTTGTGCACGAGAACCATCGCCGCGGCGGCCACAATCCAAGCCCACCTTCCCACGCGCTCCACCACGATCATCCATAGCTCCTGAGCGGAGCAAAATTCCATCACTACCATTCTTCCTTCCTTCAAGAAAGAGAGCTTCTCTTCCTTTTCTTCCTTCGTGCTCGTTCCCCCCTTCCTTTGCTTTATATACGCTAGTGACCTTTTTCACATTCCGGCCACGTGTCACGATCGTTGTGGCTAGGCTGCGCAGATCAGGAGCAATGACGAGGCGCCACGTCGGCGGCGAGGCATATGCCGGCGCAGAGATATTCGCATTTCCATGATTCGTAGTGTTAAATTTTTGTAGCTATCATATCGTATACGTCTTTGGCACATTTCTGGAATGGACTGTAGCGATGGGTGTGATACGTTGGCTCTTGCGTGTGCCTGGACTGGAGATAAGATATCCACAAAATCAAAACCATGGAAATATAGTAGCTTATACTTTTGTTCCTGGCTTAGCCGATGATAAATCCACACCAGAGAACTTTAAATCTCTCCCACTTGCACGGGGATCATCGAAATCCTGGAGAGTGAACTTTAGAAGTTTTAAAATCGAGTGATCCAATCCAATCCAGAATATTGCTTGCAATGATCATACTCACAGTTCTTTTGATACCTCGGCCTATGATCTCACACTTCTTTGTTCGTCGACGTCTCGTAGATTCCTGCCATCAACACATAAGCCGAGGATAAATCCACACTCAAGCTCGCCATCCTCTCAAACGCAAGCTTTCCCACCTCTAAATTCCTCCACTTGCTGCACGCACTCAAGAGTGTCATCCAAGTCACGGCATCCGGCTCGTAAGCCATCGCTTCCACCATCGCCACTGCATCTTCCAGCTCGTTAGCACGACCGAGAATATCAATCATGCAATGGTAGTGCTGGATACCTGGAGTAACTCCATACTTGGAGCTCATCGCCTTGAAGTAACTCTTGCCTTTGGCAACCAGGCCGGCATGGTTGCAAGCGCTGAGCAAACTCACGAAAGTTACACCGTCGGCCCGGAGACCATCCTGCTGGAGCATCATATGAAACAGATCTTCCACCGCGGCTGCTTCTCCCAAGCGGCTGTGTCCTGCTATAACTGAGTTCCAAGTTACCAGATCACGGGAAGAACTTCCGAGTGTCTCAAAGAACAGTCGACAGCTAACCAAGCTTCCAGATTTCCCATAAACATCGACTAAACCGGTCGCAAGGTGCACGTTGTCTTCCAGACCACTTCTGCAAATCGAAGCATGGACACCTCGCAAGCTTTCCAGTCTAGAACAGGCCTTGATTGCCGCTCCATAAGTCTGAGCGTTTGGTGATATCTGCAGCTCTTGCATGCTCGTGAACAAAGCCAGTGCTGACTCTGGATCTCCATTCTCTGCGTACCCCAGCAGCAAAGAGTTCCACACCACGACATCCCTGCGAGCTGCTTTGTCGAAAACTCGTTGAGCGTCGGCCAAGCTGCCGCAGTTGGAGTACATGCTGATCAGAGCGCTCGCAACGTAAACGTCCTTGGAATCATACTCGTGCTTCGCAGCCTGGGAGTGTAGAGCCTTCCCAGTCGAGAGTTTTCGTTGGATAGCACAAGCTTTGAGCGCCGCAACAAGCGTCAAGGCATCACCTTCGCAGCCTTCGGTTTGCATCCTGGCGAAAAGTTCCAAGGCCTCGTCTCCTCGACCTGCATCGACATATCCCAGCATTAGCGAGGTCCATGAAACCAAGCTGCGGCAGGCAAGAGTATCAAATACCTTTCTCGCCTCCTCCAGGCTTCCACACTTGGCATAGAAGTCCACAAGCGTGTTAGCCAGACATATATCCGAGTCATAACCAGCCTCCAATACTTGGAAATGGATGTTCCTCCCTTTCTTCAGCAAACGATCTCTCACACGCTCGTCCTCCTCACTTCTCACTGCACAGAAAACACAGGCCTTTAGTACCGCAGCAAAAGATAAAGGATTTGGCAGCAAACCATCGTGGAGCATGCGAGAGAAAAGCTCCAGAGCCGCAGAAGCCTCACCATTGTCCGTGAGTCCCAGCAGCAGTATGTTCCACGAAACAAGACTCCGGCGGTCTCTGATGCTGTGGAACACCTTCCGAGCCTCGGTAATGCTTCCACACTTGCAATACATGTTTACCAGCGAGCTTGCGACATAACCATCAGAATCGAGCCCCGACTTCACAGCATCAAAGTGGACTGCCTTTCCTTTCTCCAGAGCTTCCGCCTTGAAAGCTTTGCTCTCGCTGAAAGCTTTTCCTTCTTCCTCTTGTTCTTGGTCTTCTCTCAAAGCTAGACTCGTGCAGGCCTTGAGAGCAGCCACAAAGCTGAGAGAGCTCGCTGGACACTTCCGGCGCATCAAACCAAACATCTCCAAGGCCAGATTTTCCTTGCCATTCTCCGCGTAGCCGAGAATCATCGCATTCCAGGACACAACATCCGGGCACGGCATCTTGTCGAACACCATCTTCGCATCAGCCAAGCTCCCGCACTTCGCATAAACGTCCACCAGCGTGTTTGCTACAAAGTTATCGTCCGTAAACCCGGCCTCTGCAGCTCGAGAACGAAGAGCCGTGATTTTTTCCAGCACCACGCCATTCTCTTTTGGAGAGCTTCTGGCAAGAGTGGAGCAAGCCTTGAGTGCCGCAACGTACGTGAGGCCATTTGGCTGACAGGCTCGCGGAGGCCGCATCAAAGCAAAGAGCTCCAAAGCCACATCTCCTTCACCATTCTCGACATATCCAAGCAGCAACGCGTTCCACGAAACAACACTGCGATCCGGCATCCTCTCAAACACTTCTCTCGCTTCGGCCATGCTCCAGCACTTGGCATACATGTCGATCAGCGAGTTTGAGACAAAGTTCTCGAGCTCGCAACCACTTTTCCTGGCTTGCAGATGGAGAAACTTGCCTCTTTCCAAGGCCCGGACTTTCACAAGCCTCCCATCAACCTGTCTGCCTTGTTCTCTCACCGCCAGGCAAGAGCTAGCCTTGAGAGCCGCCACAAAGCTCAGAGAATCCGCCAAGCCTTGCTGCTGCATGACAGAAAAGAGCTCGAGAGCACTCTCCGGTTCTTCGTTGTCGACGTACCCCAGGAGCAAAGAGTTCCACGACACGACGTTTTTGTTTCCTCGAGCACCACCTCTCTCGTCAAAAACTTTGCGAGCATCTTCCATGCTCCCACACCTCGCGTAGAAATTCACCAGGCTACTCGACACAAAAGCATCCCTGTCGAATCCAAACTTGGCAGCTCCAGCGTGAAAATCCCTGCCTCTCTCCAGCAAAACCATCTTTCTCTCCCGGCCTAGTTCTTTCATCGCCATCTTCGTGCAAGCCTTGATAGCAGCGACGAAAGTGAGAGCATCCGGCCTCCAGCCTTGAGACACCATCTCCGCTATCATCTCCAAGCAGAGCTCCTCCTCCCCATTCTCGGCATAGCCGAGAAGCAAGGAATTCCACGACACCACCGTTCGCCGAGCGCTGCTCATCCTGTCAAAAACTCTCCTGGCATCCGCCATGCTTCCACACTTTGCATACATATTTACCAGGCTGTTTAGAACATAGGTGTCGGAGTCGTGCCTCTCTCGGATCGCTTCCAAATGGAGCGCCTTCCCGGCCCTCAAATCCCTGGATCGGCTACACGCCTTCAATGCCGCCAGTAGCCTGTTCTTCCCCGCATTCCCTGCTCCATCGCTGAGAAGCGGGACAGAATTCTCAGAAATGGAAGCAGGCCCCGGCAGCTCGCGCATTCTTCCAGTAGAGCATCCGGAAGCTCTCGCAAATGTGGCAAGCGACCATCGCCGGGGGAATCAAGCAGAGCTCTCCATTGCCATGAACCCTAAACATTTGACGGTTTATGCTGGCATCTTTTCAATTAACGGAATCTTCTTAGGCGTCTTAGCTGTAAGACGCATAACTTCAAGTCGAGTTCAAAGCTGTGCAAAAGCTCTCGATGGGAAGCTGCGACAAACAAAGTTAGATCGTGAAATACTTTATATTGCCTGATACGAGCATTGCTTATATGGTCTGTAGCTCCGAATGGGAAATCCTTGCACGCTCTCAGCACTCTCAGAACTCTCGCAAGACTCTCATGCTATCACAAGCTTCCTCGACTCAGAGTCATACAAGAAATCCCACACTTGGGACACAAGTTCTAGGCCAAACAGCTGCAAGCTATCAAGGCCTTCAGAGATGCTCATGTCTTTAGTATCAAATCAACCAGAAGGGAGACATTCCTGGCTTTGGTTGCGAGCCAAGTCACACAGGTAGAGGTAGGGAATCAAGGAAAGAGAGAGTGGTATTGAAGAGCCTAGACTACTTTTAAACACTGGGGTAATAACTTCAACTCAGAAGTGAGAACCCAAAGTACAGACTTATATACTAGCTATCCAGTCTTTAACTCCATGATTTTCCTTCCTCGCCTTAACTGAAAGATGCCCGCGCAAGACGTCATTGGGTATCCTCTCGCCGCCTGTCCGCTCCAATGTAATTTCCCTCAATCTCCCCTCGCACCATCGGCCAGAACCTCTCTGGCAGACCACAAGTCTTGAGAATTTCCACTAATGATTGGATTGGTGGCATACTTCTGATTGTCGATCTGCCCTTGTAAGTGATTTCTGAGTGATCAAACTAGTCATTTCCATATAATGTTTAACTTAGAATTCTAATGAGAGCTGAGAAACTATGACTCAAGTCTCAAAAACATCGAATGATAGATACTTCTCCTAAGCTCCAAACTCGTATCATACTTATATCAGTGACTGGAAGGACTTACTTGGACAAGCTTAAGCTTCTGGACCTGGGGTGAATCATTGTTCCTTTATCAACTTCAATTACCTTTCAAAATACTTTACAGTCTATGTAAAAGATTGTTATATAGATTACTCTTCTTCACATTCTCGTACAGTATTAAGCAGCCAAGACTCCACAAACAAATGAACATTTGAATCATCCACAACACCTAGTAGGCCTTGTTTGACAGTTTGATTATAAACTTTCCTCTTCTTTGTCGGATGAAGAGGAAAATCTGGTTTCACCTTTTCCAAGTTCATGTAGGCACTAGTCACCACTAACTTAACATGGTGGGGAAAATCTTGGATTAGCTTGGCAGCCTTAGCGTCTTTCGGATTCTTGATTGTCTTCGTGCCATGACGAAATAGCTTCTCAAATTTAACATATCGTTTGCCTCTCTAAAGGTCCTGTCGGATGTTTTCATTTGTGCCGCACAAATAACCAGCTCCTCATCCCCGTCTTTATCATCCACCAAGTTGAGGAAGAACCATATATCTGGTCCAGCATTTGCGTTGTCAGCTGTGGAGAAGAAGGTATAGGAGAAACCATGTCGATTCTGCACGCTCTCAATCCAGTCTAGAAGCCTGAAGTCTTCAGATTCTACTCCGAGAGGCGTCTTTAAATCCAAGGCGGGCCTAATTAGATGAGTTTTCTTTTCATAGATCTTCGGGACTGCCGTGTTCCACAAAGAGAAGAAGTGTGAAAGGCAAATGCCAGTCGTTGAGTGATCATTTCTGGAACCGAGACTTCATAAGCTTTCTCCCTACTCTTATTGCAGGAAGATTGTTCCTTATAAAATTGCCACAGCGCCATTAAAACAAGTGGTTCCCAGATCTCCACCTTCCATGACTTGTCTCCATCACCAACAATATCCTCCCCATCCTGAATCCATTGGACTCGTTTCCCATATTCTCCTTTATAAACCACCCTGGCCAATCCAAATTCTATAAGTGACAAAGTGGGGTTGATCGCAACCATCTTCCTGCTCCCGAAAAACATGTTCATCACCGCACTTTGTACCGAAGCTTTTGCTGCCTCTGCCTCGCTGCTGGGGACTCCTGCAAAGAAGCTGTATATATCATCCAAGACTGTCCTGTTTATGCTGAACAGAATGCGTCGCCGATCCACCACACTCGAGGCCACTACACCCCTCTTTGTGCCTAACTCCACCATTAACATCTGTGTCAACTCTGATGCCAATGGATTCACCATGATACAATTCTCCAAAGCAGTAGCAAATGTCCGATGCCTCCCTTGAAACAAGAGCTGCAGCCTCTGGAAGTCCAGGATGCTACAATCGTCCAGTATGCGAGCAGCAAACTGCTGCAACGCTTGAGAATTCCGAAATCCTCCCAGATTAGTAATGTTAACATGACGATGCTTTGGAGTCTGCCAAAACAAAACTATCAACCAACTAGGGAGATAGGAAGCTCAAAGTTTACCTTGGCCAACTGAGTGGCCACACGAAGAAGTGACCTTCCCCTCCCAGCAAAGTATACAGTGTTACTGAAGCAGCAAACTTGTCCAGCATCGATTGGTTGAGTCCACTTCCTGATGTAAATCGGCCAGTTAGGTACTTCATCGTCTAATATGAGAGGACCACTCCATGTGTAGCGGTACCCACGCTCATATTCAGCACTTCTAGCTCTGCAACTGTGGTTGCCAACTCCAGGATTCTCCCTGTTAAATACCACCACGGGTCATGTTCAGGGTACTTGAGATGTTGATGCACCACTTGGTTGAAGAGGAATGTCAAGTTATTGGTTCCAAACTTGTCATGGATGAAGGGCCTTACCAGCAGTACAACCTTGAGACAAATAGCCAGAGAGAACATGGGGATTTCACCTGTCAGATATATCCACTCCAAGGCATTGTGAGACACAAAATCCCTGGGCCCTAAAGTGAAGCTGAAAAGGCACCACGTGGTAGTGGCTGAAGTGAAAGTTAAACGAATGTAGCACGTTTGGACTAAAAGTTCCGACTTGAAAAGTTTGAGAGTGGGAGTGGAACTCCTAACGAAGGGCTCGAGGAACAAGCACGAAATGAAAGATAAGCGAGTCTCTAAAAAAAAGACACAAGAGGACCGACACATGACACATGGAAGTGTTCGAGATGGACCCGAGATGGAGTCCGAGATGGACCCGAGATGGAGTCCGAGATGGAGTTCGAGATGGATCCAAGATGGAGTCCGAGATGGAGTCTGAGATGGACCCGAGATGGAGTCTGAGATGGACCCGAGATGGATCTGAGATGGAGTCCGAGATGGAGTCCGAAGTCGAGACCAAGACCGGAATCGAGACCGGGACCGAGACCGAGACCAAGGCCGAGGCCGAGACCAAGCCCGAGCCCAAGTCCGAGTCCGAGTTCGAGTTCGAGTCTGAGAGGGTGAATGCCCAAAGCGTTCGTCTCCCAGACCCTAGGGGGTTTAGTGAGCTCCAAAAGTATAGTAGGGGGGAGGACTGCAATGAAGCCAGTTTGGCCAGGAAATGCCAGTTTGGCCCAGGAAGGTTGTACCCAATGTTGGGTGATGAGTTGCCCACTGGGAAGCCCAAGACTAAAGTGAACACGGACTGACAAACAGGGTAGCTTGGTGAAGTGTTCAAGAGTCAGCTCTAGTTCCCCGGGAGATCGACTAGCCGATGCTCCCAGTCCAAGTGTGGGTGGCACTACCTACTTGGATACCTGGCGTGGCTTAACGGAACCTCGCTCTAAGCCCATGGCTAGAACACCTAAAGGCGAAAGGCGGGGAGAGTACCCATGAAGCTTGCGTAAGTCCATGGTGTTCCGAAATGTTGTCTTAAAGTCCCAAACGGTGAAAGGGAAAAGGAGCAATCTTCTAGTGCAGTGACCAAGGATATAGTCACATGGTGAAGAAGTCCCAAAGGATAGTGGTACTTAGAGGTCAGGCCTGCGGGCCTTGATCTAGTGGCAGTGTTGGCGAACACAGCCATGGACAAAAAGGGACTTAGTGGGGACTAGAAAAAAGAGTTGTCGGGGAAGGCTATTCCCCATGTCTGCGGGCATCCTAAGGATGCTAAGGAGTAGATCTGGGATAATCACTCATGGACGGATGGCTTAGTCTTTGAGAGACGGGACTATGATGCAGGTAGCATTAAACCAGTGTGACCAATGTGAATGGGCATGGCCTTAGCGTAACAGGCTGATATGTCGGTGGTACCTTGGGTTGTCGGTCATGGGATCAGACGTGGAGCACTTACACCAAGTGCAAAGGTTAAGTGGCATGGATGCCAGTCTCGGGGCTAACAAGCCCCAAGTTCTAACTGGGACTTATAGAGGTTATGATGAAACTCCTCCAAGTGGTCAAAGGTGTGGTTAAGTGACTAAAGTAAAATGGAAAAATTAGTCGTTTACAACTTGGTATTGGAGCTATTCCTTAGTCTGACTTTTATTGGTGCTCAAGTATATCACTACTAGTGTTGGCATCAGAAGGTCTTAGGAGTGGGCCTATCCTTAAGGAGTAGCAAGTCAGGAAGACATAGCTCTCGACTACAGTTCATGTGTGAACTTGTAAGCGAGGTGGTGGATAGAAAAGGGCTAATAATGGAACGACTTCGAGATCTTGGGAACAATGCAAGGTTTTCCTCATTGAGTTGAGGATGTGATCCAGATGAGTGTTTGACTTAGCAAACTAGTTAATATAGTTGTGGTAAACAACTATAGTTGGGATCACGGGAAAGATGCAAACTCCAAAATGATAATGGAGTCACAAGATTACCCTCATATAGTTGAGGCTGGTGCTCATGAATTTGAGATTGGAATTGATGACCGTGGGAGGTCAAATACGGAAAAGGACACAAAGTCTTTGGAATGGTAGCTAGGGTTACCTTTAATAGATGCTGGAACAACCCAAGGAGTTGGGGGTGTACTTAAATGATGAGTTGGTATTCTTATCACATGGACAAGTGGTTATAAGGGGCAAAAGGTTGCCCCTAGAGAACAAATCAAGTGTCAGAGTAACATTTGCAAAGATGGTCCTTGTGAGTAGGACATGAATACAA